AGCTATCATATACTAATATATATACTTTTGAAACTGGCTACTGACAAATGTCGCTGGTTAAAAAAAAAGTTTGAAAAGTGCAAGATATATGCACTTATATGGCTGTTGTTCAAGTATTTCCAATTCAGTTTATTGAATGACATTTTCTATAAAAGTATAGTAACTGTGCACTGCTTTGCTGTCGCACTTGCTTGAGAGAGAGAGTCACCTCACAGACATTAATTCAGGCTGTTCTGAAAACAAATTATTGGGAACGTCTATATGCGGCAGTTTTCAGGAGGTATCGATCTATTTCCTGTAAAAACAAAAATAATCCAGTGATCTATAAAAAAATTAATTAATTTCTTTAAAAATAACAAGAGGCTCACAAAAGCCTGCCGTGCAGTATGCATATATGGGAACGATGCTTTTGTAAGCATTGCTTTTCTATTAATTTTTATATGTGGCTGCTGCATATATATCCTATGCAGTCAAGCACATCCTATTCCTCTCTTTCTCAAATTAAACATTCAAAAGATTTTTTTTATCTGTGGCATCAAATTAAATATATGCAAGGTTATTCGACTTGGCTTCAGTAAGTTATGTAATGAAGCAATGCAACCTGTTTCAAGTGATGTGTCGATCTACTGATCCAAATCTACTTGGTACTCATTGTACCATTCATGAGTATCCCTACACTTTTCTCCTCTACCGGCTATGTTCTGCGGTGAGACTGGCTAACTAAGATATCAACGGAGTAATTCCAGACTCATTCATGAGTTAACATCAAATACAAAGCTAAGCCTTGCAATTGAGCAAGCCAGGCAGTGTCGCTCATGCGCTGCTTGCATGCCTTTGAAGAAGAAATCTGATTGAAAATAGTCGAGGCTGCAAAAACTCTTCTCAGATAACAAAATATTAATCAAAGGACTACTATGCGTGTGAGTTCTTTTCACATGATTCTCATTACTTTTAAGAGAGATATTCGTTATATCTCTTGTTTATTTATCATACGGTTCGGGTCATCTCTCCTGATGCTTGAACATTGGCCTAAAAAAATGTGAGCTGCACATGCCAGTTACATAGAAAGTTTCCAAATGTGACTATGCAATAAAAAAACATTTTAAATTCAGCACCGGTCACCCTAGTGAGGGAACAAACACTTCAGATCTTTGTTTATTTATATGTTCTCCTAGTTTGCTGAACAACATGCTGTTTCGTCAAACGATTATCTTCAACGCTGTCAAACCTCAAGTTGAGGTGACAAATCCAGAGGCCGTCGAATGCCAGGGGCATATCAACATTTAATACCGGTTCGCTCTAATAATATTTTCTTGGACAGCCCTGATGTCCTATAGAAATATACATATAGAGGTTGGGACTACCTCTATTATTGTTAATCATACTCCATGAGACAGCAGGGGTCTTGTTTCTCATGTGTAAGCCCTTGGGCTAATGCGTCAAAATTTCTCAAACCAAGATGAGAGCTTGCTAATCTAAGCAATAAGACTCAATTAACTAACCAACATGATGATAGTCACCAAAATAAATCATCAAGTGTTCCACCACAAGCAAGCGCAGGGGGCAATTTTTTGACCCCTCAATGATAAATTCCGAAGCTGATTCCATAGGCTCGATTGCCTTCAGTGAGCCTACAAAACAATGCCAATTGACAACTTGAGCTCGACAGCGGCAAACACGATGTCAACGTGTGTTTTAAATCTGCAAGAGATTTGTTCCAAAATTTATTGTGCAACAAATTCAATCCCTTGAAGCACCACTCTGCAAATCCAGATGCATAATTTCCTACACAACATCTCTGCCATTGCTGAGCTTGAGTTGAATAGATCACTTATCACGGACTATGCAGGAACACCGATCAACAGCTCTAAGTTAGAGTGCTATGCAAAATGGCTGGGGCAGTAAATTAGATGTGCATTGCTTCCACTATGTCTCCTCATATGACATTGGTGATAAAATGTTATGAGGGTGACTAAAATATCTTCAAAATATTATATTCTCCAATGACGAGTTATTCTACTTGATGTAGTTCTACTCTCGCTTTCACACGTTTGCAGCGAGTGTCCCACATGGCCAAGGTGGTCAACACTGGGAGTAACATTGTCTTGATCCAATATCAAATAAACGATATTTTTTCCCTCCTCTATCTTTCAATACCTTACCACCATGCATGGTGTTAACCGAACTATGTGTGGTACTACCAAGTATCATGCCCAACGCTTATCTATCAAAGATTTAGCCATTTAAATACTATGGTTAGCCTAATTATGTTGGCTACCTTCCCTTTCTGTTCTCTCCCTCTCTTTCAATGGAATCCTAGTCGATTACCAAGAGTAGAACAATGCCAATTCAAACACATATTGGAGTTGAAATCTCACCATGAGATTCCTCATTGGAATAAATGAAAAATGTTATTTTAATATGTATGTGCAAACATCTCCCCTGTTATCTTTAAAGAGTACATTCCTCTCTAAAAACAATCTCCTTCATGGATCATAGAGTCCAAATAAGAAGGAAGCATTACCTTTGGTGGGTTGTCACTAGTGGATGTGTACCTAGTACAGACTATGCTCCAACTGATTGATCTCGCGATGAAGCGAAGTCAACACTTAGCACTTGGCTCACACCAACAATGGATGAAGAGGGCGGTTGAATCTTGATCCAAGTTAAACCCTGATGTGGTGGGTTTTTATCATGTCTTTCGCTTTTGCCCAGGTTAAGGGGGCAAGCTTCTGGGGAAAACTATAGGAAAAAGAGCTTGAAAGGGCTACCTATTCTGACAAAAGTCAAGTTCTAGTGTGGAGCCACATGCCACCCCATGAAGTATTAACAAGGGCAAATAAAAAAAAAGAAGAAAATACTAAATGCCAGTGAGGAATTCTTAGTTTACACTAAAGGTGTGGTGACTACTTTCCAAGTTCTAAAGGGGGAGAGTGATCAAGCCGATGAAATGTATGATCAAAATATGTGTGCAAAAAAAAACAATCTGGAAGAAAGAGAAGAAGAGAAAAAAATAAAGGAAGGCTCTTGAATCAATGGGTCACTCTTCCCTGATCTGAAGGCGGAATGTAGTCACTTCCCATCCTCAGCAAAAGTAATGGCACAATTTCCAAAGCCTATCACCCATAAACCATCTCAATGATTAGCCATATCCCATACCCCTACTGGGACAAAGGTGGAAGACATGAGGCACATAACTGAAGGGAGGCTTGGAGAGAGTTCTTCGGCCCATCAGAGATCCTGACAAAGTGTGATGCCCTTACACAAAACTCACGAGTAAGCTGAATCGCAAGTGAAAATCATGGTGGCGAATACTTGTACTAGGGAATACCGTCTCTAGTAGTACCACCATCGACTATTGCGTTGATTTAAAGAAGGTAATAAAAAAGAGAGATCTGTTTCTCCTTGGATCTCCTTCCAGATCATTACAATCTCTTATTCTGCCACATAAACATTACTCTCATAATTGGCATTGTTCCACTACTTGGGTAAAATGTATTTCCTGAGCGAGTCAGCCGTGTAATATGGTTGAACCTCTACATTTTCATGACATTTTTGACAATAACCTGCTCTAATCATGATATTGGATCAAACCAGTTTTTATTCAAGTCCATGATTATTCGGACAAATCTCAATTATTAGATGGGGAAGTGACGTGCACCAGCGTGTATAGCATGAAGCTGTCAATTTTTGACTCCACTGGCTGGCATCGTTACATTGAAAACGATCGCAGTAGAGTTGATCAAATTCTTTTGAGGTGCGGTATGATTTTTTTCGCTACAACGGGAGCAGTGAAGTGCACCAGTGCGGCATGCATGGAGCTGTGAAACCCTTTAACTTCATTGGCGGGCATCGTGACAGTAAAACAATCGCAATAGAGTTGATAAACTTATATTGAGGTGTGGTATGATCTTGCGCTATATCTCAATACCATGGGGGCAATTCTACACCCTCCAATCATTGAGCTCGACTGGCTGGCTTCTTACTAGTGAAACAGTCGTAGTAGAATTAATAAAATTCTACATGTTGTGAGGAGAAGCATCTCTTCACTACTGGCTCCTGTATTGGTTGTCACCGCAGTTATAAAGTGGTCACAATAGAGTCAATAAATCATGTTAATTGGTCACATCAAACTTGACTAATGTTTTTTTCCGCACCAAACAGTTTTGGTCGCTATGGAGCAAAATAATAGGATGGCACGATTATTTCGCCACATCCTATATACATGTGCTAATACAATCATCATAACCATAGCATGAATTTTCGCTACATTTCTTTACTTATGGCCTATAGTTTTACACTGTGGCACGATTTTCGCTACCATACAAATTTTATGACAGTATTTTACACTGTGGTATGGATTCTCGCTATAGTTTCTTTCTTCGATGCCATTCCTGTATATGGTGCATGTGTTTATGCTGTACCTACTCGAGATGGAGACTGTAGCACAAATCTTGCTACAGTGACAAATAAGTTTTGCTGCCCTATCCTTGTTAGGGTCTGGTGCTTTGAACGCAGATATTAAACCTTGGTCTGTACTCAAAATACTAATCTTCAGATTGAGTCACAAACAAATTAAAATGGACAGCTTTGCTATCATAGCGATAAATTATCCATAGTTTCTAAGTGATGACCGTGTTTAAGAAAAAAAAACAGAGAGGGCGACACCAAATTGATTTAGAAATGGGTCGACTCAGTTTGATTGTTTTGCCAAGTCGAGTCCCTGTTGCTTCGCACATGAACTCTACTCGGCGGGGGACATCTATCTCATATGCTAATAATATTTGAAGCCTGAATTTACAAGATGTGTGTGAAGAAGGCCTTTATGACGTGTGGCAAAAAAAAAACACGTGGCAAAAAAAAGAGAGGATGATGACGTCTATGATTTTCAGACGGGAATTATTCCTACTAAGTTTACTGTGGTGTTCTTATTTATTACAGTGATATGATTACTTAATGGGATGTGCTTCTATGCTTCTTAAAAAAAAACTGCACGAAAGTTAAAGCACGTCAATGGTGAGGATTAAAAGTTGATTAACCGAGTAATCACCATTAGCAAGGGGCAATTTCGTCCAGAAGTAAAAGCCCATATCCGTATCCACATCCCTTCTCATGGATTGATTCGCGGCCAGCGCGCGGCAGTTCTCACGACGCATTCCGGTGAACAGCGCCGCACGCCCGCACCCTTTCCTTCGCCGAGAAGCGTCCTCTACCCCCTGTAACTGTAAGAGTGTTTTCCCCTTCCGCTACTAACCACGCCGTCGCTGCTTCCTTCACCGGCGAGCTCTCTCCTTCGGGGAGCTGCGTGTTGACGTGTTGTGTAGGTGGTGCTCGTCGTCGTGCTTTCAGGTTCGTCAATAGTCTCGTGGTTCAGGAAACATGGCTGGTTGGCTGATTCATTGAGCACAACACCCTCACTCACCATTATCAACACCTTATTCTGCTTCTTCATGATTCTCGGCAGAGATTGCCAAAGCTTCCATGTCCATTTTATTCCTCAGTATATGGTGATACCTGATATGCATTCAGAATTGAACTGAACTTAACACAAGGCTGATCACAATCTTTTGAATTTACATAGAATTGGTTGTATGCGCTGATCCTATCCGTCTCGTACTGTTCGCGGCCGCGTGCCTATATATAAACTGCGTCGGCTTCTTACCGGCCGCACGAAGAATCGATGGCGATGGAGATTATGCAACAGCTCGCCGCCGCCGCCACGGCAACGGCCCTGTGCCCTGAACCATCTCTGATGGCGATGACGACGGCCGGCGCAGATGGAGGCCGCCATCGCGACGCTGCATGGCAAGAAGCAACGCCTCCGCGAGGCCTGCGACAGCCTCGTCCTCCACTCGCCCATCCTCCTCCCCTTCCGCTGGTCCGACCTCGACTCCCACCTCTCCTCCCTCCAGTCCTCTATCCACGCCCGCTTCAGCTAGCTGCAGGCCCTCCAGGCTTCCCGCCCCGCGGCCCCCGCCGCCGCCGGGAGCCATGGCGAGGACGTCCAGGAACAGGGAGAGGACGAAGTGATGGCAGCGGCGGCAGCGAAGATGGTGCCTCCGTTTACGGTGCTGCAGGTCAAGGAGAGGAGCCCGCGGAGGCGCCGGCATGCGCGAGCATGGACGCCACAAGGCTGTCGTCGAATGCCGCCGGCAAGCGTGCCGGCGTCGGGCAAGATGGGTTCGTTCGACCCGGTGGGATGGCGGTGCCGGCGGCGGCGGCGAAGATGGCGCCTCCGTCAAAGGTGCAAGTCAAGGAGGAACCAGTCGATTCTGATATGCGGACAGGGTGGGCTAGATATGGTCAGCTTTTTCTTAGGACAAAATTACCCCTCGTTAAAGGGGATTACTCTGTTAATCAACTTTTAATCCTCACTGTTGATGTGCTTTAATTTTCGTGCAGGTTTTTTTTAAAGAAGCATAGAAGCACTTCCCTTACTTAATATATGGTTGGATCATGCCAATGTCCATGATTTTCGGACGACAATTAATGCTATAAATTGTACACTGCAATGTGCTTTCTACAGTGATTTTATTATTTAATTGGGTTACACCCGTGTCCAAGATTTTCGGACGACGATTAATCCCAATAATTTTGCACTGTAACGAATTTCCTACAGTGATCTTATTAATAAGATGAATCTTCGCTATGGTATATTTATCGACATTTACACTGTTGCATGGATTTCGCTATAATTTCTAAAGCGGGGAGGCTGGTCTTTTAAAAGCCAAAAAAAAAATTGAAATCCATGGCTAAGCCAGAATCGTGAAGAATTAGTGGCGTTACTGTTACTGCTACAGTAGTAAAGCCACTAAAAAAAATTGAACGTGAGCATCCTTTATGTGAGGAAATGTATATACATAAAGAAAAAAGGAAGAAGCCAGTGCACAAATATTGTTGGTAACAATGCAACGCTCCTATTAAATTTGAAGGAGTTCACTGTGCTTTTCTGGTGCAAATCAAAATATATAGAAAAAACAATAAAGGAGTTCACTCCGCTATATTGGAAACAAATAAAATATCTGAAGAGCTATTTCAAACCTGAAACAAGATTTTGAAACTAGCATCTACTCATCTAATGAGCAGCCCATGAAAAAATCAAATAAATTGTAGACATATCTATATTGAGATAGATCAAACTCGTCTGGCTTAGTAAAGTCTATAATATCTTGGAGAGACTTTTGGTGCACGCTCGCCTGCTTTAAGTGCGCCGCAATCTCAGATTTTCGATCTTTAGCTTGACGATGTCGCTCGAGATGGGAGTTCAAGTTCTCTGTTACAACATCTTGTCAGTGTTGTGCACTGGAGTGGGCATCTTCCACTTGTTGAAGTCTTGCTTGCAACACTGCTATCTCTGCTCTAATTTTCCGTGCTTGTCGTGAGCACTCTCTCTTGTTGCCCTCCTCTACTGCTTGCTCTACATTATATTGACTCGTCAGTGCCTCCAAAGCGACGCATGATGACTCCACCTTGTCTTGAGCAGTGCGGAGCAGATCGACGTGTTGGTTAATCTGGTCCTGTTGTGCGAGAACAAGATTAGTAGTTGGCAGTGGCGCTTCCTCCGATAGCGCTCCCTTAAGCACGCGTAACCCTTCCATTAGCCTAATTATTTCAGGAGGTGGCTTTGAGAAGAAGTTACTCCACAGATCCAGGTTGATGCTTATCTCTTTAAGTATAATATCTCTCTGTACCGGGCGTTGCTTGAGTAATTCTTGAAACGCTTTGATCTCAGACCAGACATGTTTAAGACCACGGGCTGAAACAACATCTGAAAGTTTCGGCAGGGTCACGGGGTTGTTCCCATCAAATTCTTTGAGCAGGGAGTTTTCCTCTGCGCCACAGTTCATGTTCACCGCTTGTGAAACTTGGGCGATTATATGCTCAACATTGATAGACAACTTCTTGGATTCACTGAACAAGTGTTGAATCCTAGCTGGAGCACATGAGAAGAAGGGTAGTGTGTGAAATTGATTACATAAAAAAAAGGAAAACAGAGTGGACAGAGAAGTATAAAATGAAAGAAACCAGTTGTACCTTGCAGAGTGGTTTCTCCTGCCCGCATGACAGAATTATCCCCATTACAATGCTTACTAGTGGCTTCGGGGCCCACTGCCTTGTTAGAAACTCCATCTGGTCGTCATCAAGAAGCTTACTAGTAGGTTGAGTTGGGGGCATGGTGCAGATAGTATCACACGGCGTGTTTGATCCTCCGCCGGAAAAATCAACATATGTTGCGGTATGATAGATATGTTATGTTTCCCTGTGAGGAAGCTGTGATGATCCACATGAAAAAATAAGTCGGTGGCCCTGTTTGATGTTCAAACAAGAGGCTACTTTAGACAACCACATCCACTTCTTCGCTGTCCCGATTGCCGTTACATCTTCGGGTGAGATATTTTGCTGGTCAATGTGATAGAAAAATTTGAAGTCATCACACCAAAGAAACATCTCGCCATTATCTTCTCTTGGCGCCTTCTTGGCTAGTCCACTGTATAATGTGTAGATTGAGGACGCCTCAACATAGGGGTTCCCCTTTTAAAAAAAAGAGGCACTTATAAGATGGATCAATTCACGGAAGAGTTTAACGATTCAGAACCTAACTTCTGTCCCTTTTTTTTATTATGATCTTTTCGCCGTGAGATTTTTGCATGCCAAGGCCCCTCCCTTGCTGGGAAGTTTCCTTGATACCTTCATCACTATCATGGCCAGGCAATGGTGGGTCATCTGGGATCTCCTGCCAAGTATAAGTGGGGTTGCACACGCTGGTATGATCGGCACGATCACTAGCCTTCTGCATTTTCTTGTCTTGAACAGTAGCAAAGAAATTCGATCGACTGCTTTCCCCAGTCGATCACCGTTAATTTGCAGTAGCTCTGATCGAAGATTTTAACGATCTAACATGAGCTCTGTTTTAATTACTCGATTAAGAAGCTGTACAGACTTTATTTATATATATAGGACATACGGCCATGAGCCCGTATGATACATGAACTCGGCTTCAATATATATCAGATCATGCACGTCATTTGCCGATTGGCAGCCAGCTTGTGAATCAAGCCATGTACCACACGGAGATGGATTAATCCTTCGTAACAATATACTACTGAGTATTTCACCGAGTGAAGTCTGTCCTGCTTCGCGTACAAACTACACTCGGTGGGGGGCATTTGTTTGATGAATTTTTGTGCTAAAAATTCATAGAAGAAATAATAAATTATTGGGCATTTAATTTTATATGAGAATATTATTTGTAGCACAATTTTACTGAATATATACGAGACGTGTCTATATGACATGTGGGTCTAGAAATTTTAAATATTATGGTGTCCGAATATATTCGATATTGGACTCGTTTTGTTGTATAATTGAATAGAAAGTGATGGTTCAAATGGATTTTAAATCCGATATACGATTCAAAAGATTGGAACTATTAAAACAAAAGAAATAAGAAGTGCTATCGTTACTACGTGAGCATGCATGGTCATTGGCTGTGGCGATTAAACATATGGGGCCCACTGTCATTAGACATGTTAATCACATAATTATCTCCAGACTGCAGTACACGTTGACGGATTGGCTCGTCTCTGCGTCGGCTTATCACGAAGATTAGCACAGGGCGCTGGAAATTCGGAGGCCGCTTCCGTCGCCGCTGCCTATATAAGAAGCAGAACCCATCTAGAGCGGGGGACGCCGAGGACGCCACAGGAGACACCCATCTGCCCATTTTCATTCATCCCATTCTTCTCAGTAGATTAGGAAAATCAGGAGAGGAGATTGAAGCCGGCCGGTGATAGCAAACCGGCGCCGCTGCGGAGAGAATTAAACACCGCAGCCGGCGTCCTTCATCAAGTCGAGTCATTTATCGACAACAAGCCGCCATTTAGGATATTTGCGCTGGATGGTGAGCACATTGAATAAATATTAATTTTCTAGATTAAACACAATAGATGTTCGGTTCTTATTGGCGATCGGAACATCTGCGTGTTTTTAATCTATCTTGATCTTGATGATTAAAGCCAGATCAATGAGAGCCGAAGCACGGTTATCATCAAACTCCATTTATACAATCGATGGTATAAGGCTGGTTCGGTCCTCATTGGCGATCGGATTATCCGAACACTATTTGATATATTTTCTATGCTCAAAATTAGATGTCCGGCCCTCATTGGAGATTGGATCATCTATTTGTTACTATGATACCGATAACAACGGCGCTAGATATGTCCAACTTTCATTGGTGATTGGACAATCTAACCGATGTTTTACAAAATATATTTTGATACCATGCACACACATGGGAGCTATTCGTGATCTTTGGAAGTTAAAAATTATGGCCGAGTATTTATGAGGTCGGTGTCACGATATTATTAACATGTCCAAACAGATAGGAACGGATACATGTTACTAGGTTCCGACGAGGCAAAAGTAACGATATATCCACATCTAATAAAAGCTGGCATATATGACTGGGCACCGACGAGGCAAAAGTCATCCCCTTTGTTATGATACCTGACTCATGTATGGACATGGTGATAATATATTGTGAACAGGTTTCGGCAAAACAAAGCCACCTATATCACAGTTATCATTAAATCTCTGCACCAACTTCAACCTTCGGCGAGCAATCAATTTTGAAGACGACGATCACAAGCGCAGCTTAATCGGAGGTGTTCCATAGGCTCTTTCCTGTGGATGTAATTAACCGGCCGCCTCATTGCTAGGCGCCGGGAATCAGCGGACTACACGCAATCTCCAGTCAGCATACCTTTCCATTAAGTATTCCTCGCGAAGGCAAAAGGCGAACTCCTGTGGGAGCCCTCATGTATTTGTAAACATTCATGTTAATGAATCGTGATTAATAAAATACAGGGTTTCCCTATTTTCTGTGTGTTCGTTGTTTTGTTTTCATCAAACATCTGGCTTGGAGTGAGATTGCATTGCATGTGACTTAGCTTCTTTTTAATATTCCGGTGCAGTCTGCAACACAGAAATGACGCAGAAGGAAAATCAAGAGAGGGCAACGCAACTGAATGGATCCAAGGCTGAATCGAATAAGTTGTCTTTGTTTCCTTCTTTTCCTGTACCTGGGAGTTGGTTGTATACCCCCTCTGACTTTGCTTCTTTTTATGCAGTTTTGTACAAAACAAACTCAAGCAGAAAGCGAAACAAGGGGTGGAATCTCAAAAGAGAGAAACGAAGGCTCACTTGAGCAAGATGCTTGCTGGATTGAAGATTGTTGAATTTCTTCATGCTGAAGGGTGGATTGGAGGGATTATCTAAGAGGTTTTTTTTTTCATTTTAAAGCTATTCTAATGCCTACATTGTCAACTACATTCCCCATATTTAGTATGCTTGTCCACATGTCAATGGCACCGTTGGAGCAAATCCATAATGTGCATCCTTATTCCTTAAATAGTGCGGACATCCTTAAATAATCCTTTGAGAAGAAGTATCCTAACCTTTACAATCTAGTTAGAAATAAAAATGAGGTAGTGGCCAAGGTAATGAGTAGAATCCCGTTAAATGTGTCTTTCAGAAGATCAATACTGGGAAGAAACTTGAAGCCTGGTATGAGCTAGTGTCGAAGGTATTAAGCTAGTGTCGAAGGTTGTTAATACTGTTTTGACAGATTAGAAAGATCGCTTCTTTTGGAAAAACAATAAAGATGGCCTTTCCACAGTAAAATCTATGTACAAGTTGCTCATGTATGAAGGGGTGGTTCCTAAGAAGAATTTCATTTGGAAGCTCAAGATTCCACTTAAAATCAAAATTTTCTTGTGGTACCTTAAGGAAGGGGTAATTCTCACTAAGGATAATCTAGCAAAGAGAAGGTGGAAGGGTAGTCTAAGTTGTTTTTGTAACTCAAAGGTAACAATATAACACCTTTTGTTTGATTGCTCAATGGCTAGGTATATTTGGAGTGCGCTCCTTTTTACATTTGAGATTAGGCAACTGTGTAGCATGTCTCAAATGTTTGGGAATTGGCTGAATTGTGTTGAACCAGGCTCAAGAGAATATTGTTTGTGGGCATAGCTGCATTTCTTTAGGCAATTTGGTTATATAGCAATGATGTGGTCTTTAATTGCTCCAATCCTACATCTTTCTTGCAGGTCATTTTCATAGGAACGCATTGGGCAATGACTTGATCTTTGCTTCTTAAGGGAGGCGATGAAGAAATAGTTGAGAGCAGCAAACTGCTGGAGAAGCGTGTGTTGGAGTTCTTCTCCGTGTATGGCTGGAACCTTACAAGAAGATTGGAAGCCTAGTCTTTTTCTTCGTTTGTTGTTCTTAAAACTCTTTGTGCTGTCATCTCTTATGCAAAATCATTTTATATTTAAACTGACAAATAGAACCTGGAATCATATATTTCTCCCCATCGAAGAAAAAAAATGTACAGATGATGGCCACGAAATATCAAAATCCAAATGAGCAGATTGATCGACTCAAACAAATCCAGCAAACTCGGCAAAGGAAACGAAGACATTTTAATTAATTTATAGAAATCAGTCAAATGAGATATAGGAGTAATTGATATGACCAAGTCCTTATGTGTAACTATTTTCTTCCAACGGGAAGGTGACAGGTTGTGCATCTGCCGATTGATGACTTTTAATGCATATGATCGCCTGACAGCCGTGAATATTGCAACAGAATTTTAGTTGTCCAGCAAAAAGAGATTTGCAGCTTGCAGGTTCATCTAGAAAACCTACACCAGTAAAAAAAATGCCGAGATAGAAAAAAAAACCATCTAGAAACGAACTAGGCTGGCTCAAGAACGGAGTGTGGAGCTATTCCACCGTATCCCAGTCATAGTAGAAAAAGCCGGGTTGTCCCGGTGGAGTGCTGGCTTCACCGGTCTATCGGTCCAACAGTTGGGTCACTGGATGAACCGCGGTTTATTCCCTATATTTTGTGTTGCCTTCCAGTCACAGCGGCTAAGTTATAGTATAACTTAGCCTAGCGGTTGGCAAGGTTTGCATCTATCCTAGCAGCCTGGGTCGAATCTCATCCCTGCACCATTTTTTCTCCCATAAAAATCAAGTTGGGCTCATAAGAAAGATGCTATCAAGTGGCCCAACTAGCTTTGCTCGAAAACCGCAGCCGGTTCACACCGGGTCGATTGTGTGAGCGATCCTTTGAGGGAACCGAGCCATGCGATCCTTTGAGGGAACCGAGCCGGTCAGGGAGCTGGTTCCGGTTTTTTCTACTATGATCCCAGTAGATCTTTTTTTTTTCGGGGATGATCCCAGTAGATCTTATTATATACTTCTTCTGTTTTATACTATATAAGTCTTATTATATACTTCTTCTGTTTTATACTATGTAAGTCATTTGCTTTTTTTTCCTAACTTCAAACTTTTTAAGTTTGACCAACTTTATAAAAAAATATATTATCATTTTCAATACAAAACAAACATATTATCAAATTATATTTAATATTGAATTTAATGAAACTAATTTTGTATTGTAGATACTATTTTTTTTAAACTTGGTCAAATCTAAAGAACTTTGATTAAGAAAAAAAGTAAAACGACTTATAATATGAAACGAAGGGAGTATTGAAAAGAAAAGTTTGGTCAGGTCGTTATCCGTCATACATGGCACATTTGCGGCCCAGCATATACATACATAAATCTGTTTCCAACACACAGCATATTCTCTACTCTCTACTTATACTATACTACTATTGTAATGGCAAAATCTAAACCGAGAAGCCTCTTAGTTTAGTGTAAACTAGCGACCAACCGGTTGTGAGAATAAGTACTACTACACGTGCATGCTTTTTTTCCTCTTAGACATGCATGTCTTTTTCTTCCTTCTTATAAAGTTTTCTCAAATTACTTATCCAATCTACAATCCGATTACACCATTGTATTCGTTACAATTAAATCTTCACAACAAGATCTTACATGATTATATTACGATGAAAAATATTTATATTTGCAAATTACTTTTATTATATACGTAAGTTACTTTTATCATATATATAAGTTACTTTTAAATTTGACTAAATTACTTCTTAGATATATAAAAGTAAATTCAATAAAGTCTAAAAGTAATTTACATATATTATAAAGTATCTTTAAACAAAACTAAAGTAACTTTGTCACAACATTAGAAGTAAATTCGTTGTAGGGATAAAAATATGACTTTATCTAGAAATTAAATTTAATCAGCACAGATCAACACACGTAAGTTTAACAATTTTTAAAAGTAACTTCAATGTTAATTGGAAGTAATTTTTGCATGGTTCAGAAGTAACTCTCTATAAATCTTCAATGTTAATTAGAAGTAACTTTTGGATCAATGAAAAAAGGCATGCATTAAAGTTACTTTTTTTTTCGTTATAAGTTACTTCTATAATATATCTAAATTACTTTTAGGCTTTATTGAATTTACTTTTATATGTCTAAGAAGTAATTTAGTGAAATCTAAAAGTAATTTAGATATATTATAAAAGTAATTTATTATTTTTCATCAAAATATAATCATGTGAGATTCTGTTATAAAGATTTAATTTTTACGAACATGATGGTGTAATCGGATCGTAGATCGGATGAGTAGTTTAAGAGAAAATTTTATTTAAAGTATAGGTGGATAGAGTCTCTCATAGATAGAGTGGTAGTTGGTTTAGACAAACCAGCTACCATTAGTAGCTATATATATATATATATATATATATATATATATATATATATATATATATATATATATATATATATATATATATATATATATATATATATAGTCACGTCCTACTATAATATAATATAATTAAATAAAAACGATCGTAATGGGGGTCGTGATTTCTACAACTATTATTTCTGACCATTAGATCCGCAACAATCAATGGATGAGATTCATCTTGCGATCCTTCCACGCCCACGCGCGATCCTTCCCTTGGCGTAGAAAAAGAACCGTTGCCCCTTTTCCTTGGCAAGTCCGCACATCGTGCCGCCCCTCCGCCGTCCTCGCCTTCCCCACCACGCCGTCGTCGCTCCCCCGTCATCCACTCATCCACTGCGCTGCCGCAAAAAGCGATCCTCCTGCATGCATGCCGCTTCCCGCCGGAGCCGCTCGCCTCCCGCCAGAGCCGCTCTGCCTCCCTGCTCGCGCCGCGACGGAGAGGAAGGATAGCTGGGGTCTGCTCACACCGCCACCAACGGAGAGGAAGTATTTTGGTGTGTGGTTTAAGGATTGTTGATATAACGATTTCATTTTGCCTAATAGTGTTTGATGAAATTTTGTTCACGTTTTATTAATTATTTTTCACTAATGTGTCTGCAAATACTTGAGTCAGGATAAGAGGGAGGATGCCATATTCAGCCTGGGTGCTCTCTGAAGATGCATAACCGTGTGATGTCTATAAATTTCTTCTAGTGCCTGTTGTTGCAGGGTTTATTTCTCTATCTGTTTAGTTCTGCTTATTCATCAATATAATCAAAGCTTCTGCTTATTACTATAGTTTTGTCATGACTGAATTCTTTACTAATCATGAGGCGCTACACTTTATACTACCTAAATTGATTGGAAGAATATGCCTTCAATGGAATAAGTGGGACTATACTTAATCATCCAGTTGTATTACTGCCAAAACCCTATTCCTTAATCATCCAGTTGTACATAAATGTTAGATGCACAGGTTGCATATATAACCCTATTCCATAATCACCCAGTTGTACATCTATATGTTCGTGCTTCATACCAGCCTTCTGCCTTCAATACCATTAACAATATGTATACTTATGATTTTTTCCCCGCTAACCATGGCTGCTAGGAGATCTTCCCTGTTGTGCTTCCTAAGGCCGTGCCCACCATGCAAGGAGCAGAGCAATGATTACTGCGTTGATAAGATTGACTGATTGAGAGGGTCATGGTGAGCCTAATTGCAACATTCATTAGATAAAATGGTTGTTTGATTGCTTTAGTACTCTTGTCGATATGTGACAATGTTTTGCACTACTAATATTGTAAATCTCCCGGGATTGTCCTCAATTTCTTTTCACTTTGTCTACCCAATAGGAGAAACCTATGGGATGTGCTCCGTGACAACATCTGCTCACTGGATGCTACTAAAATTATGTCATTTAATATCCATTTTTTACTGTGATTTTTAATTGAAGTAAGTAAATATATACTACAGATATTTTACTGCCTACCTGCAAATATTTGGTTTAATTTGTATTTTCTAACACATGCATTTTGATATTCTTACATTGGATTATATTTTCATTCCATTTTGAGCTGAAAAAGTGGTATTCAGATATTATGTTTGACATAACTATTTGGACCTTTTTCCCTAAACTATACTTATGTGTTTCTTAAATTTTAACTGAAGATGGTTCTCTTAGGCAAAAGTTTTTTCCTCCTTCTGTTAGACAAAGAAAAGAAAAATGATAAGCACTGGATAATGCATACATGTGTGCTTGATTATACCGTATACTAATTGCGCGGTGTGATATTTGTTTTCAGCTGAAGTGATAGATATAACTGTGATTGCAAGGATGCTAAGAGACCATGGCAAGCCCAAGGGATGTAAGGATGCCAACGCGAAACCATGGCAAGCCCAAGGGCACAGCTATCACGGCAGAAGGGGGTGGGCAGTGTTGATGTTAGAATAGAGCAGAGCTATCAGGGATGTGGAGCAGGTAATCTCAGCGTACAATAGACTAATAATTTTTGGGGCAAGAGAAATGCAAATCTCAGATTGATTATAATGGAATGGGAGCAAAAGCAAAGATAGTACCAGATCCAACTCTCCTTTCCAGGTTTATTACACTATTCTCAGCATTTTAGTTGGTTTCCCTGTTAGTTGAGTGACTTAGAGATTATCAGATTAGGCTTAAATAGTCTCTAACAACCTAATAACTCAGATTGGATGACCATTACTACTATATTAGCAATTTCACTGCATCAATTGAGTGTTAATTTATATCTTTGAATTACGCGCCATTTTCACAAATTCAAGATATCAGAAATTACGTGGAAGTGTAAATGAGGTCTTCAATGCATTGTCTTATGTTACATCTTTCCTGCTCCCCTGTTTTCGTTGGTATATGCCTCTTACATCCAGTGTTATGATGCCATAGGAAGGTCAGAAGGTGAATGATGAACTGATGATGCTATCTGAAGGTGAGTGACGATGCTGTCTGAAGGTCAGAAGGTGAGTGATTGCAATTCTTGCAAGGGAAAATACATTGCTCCATGAGTGTGACTCCTCTAGAGGTATATGATGGAATCTCATTTCTACGGCAACCTTAAGTGCTATGTGTCTGTTGGAGGAGAGGGAATGCTGATGAAACCTGAAGTTATTAGGTAGTACAAGGTTGTTAGATTCTTACAAGTTTTTAGAAGACATGAAAGTACTATTCTTAACGACCTAATTCTTTTGGCACAGACGACAGGTCCATCAAACATATATATCAAGCAAGACAAATGATTCAAGTGATAATTCAAGATTTATGCTGGTATCATTTTTGTGGAATTTGTATTGGTTGAGATAGGAATAATTTTAGCTCCATTGGCTTTTGTGGGTCAATATTTGGATTTTTTTTTTGCGTTGGACAATTTATTTCTCACTAATACAGTTGTTAGTTTCTACCTATGCATAATTTAGATAAATTTTGAAAGTGATTATATATCCCTGTGGGAGGTGTGTTGAGAAAAACGTGCAATGTAGGTGTACGTTGAAGAGCTAGACAAATAGGTTCGCCACTTCGCTGGCTGGTGGATGATAACTTGAACCTCAAGATCACATCACTAATTAATTCTGATAATAAATTATTACTTTCGAAATGTTGTGATTTGATCATTCATGGATGACCACTTGTTCTGCTTGGACAGCTGAAACAGGAGGTAGCTGCACTGGTGATGCCTACAAGAGAGCTCACTGCGACAAGCTTCATCAATCCAATTCTGAAGGTTGACCAGAACAAGCACAAGATTGATGAAAAAAGGTATATGCCAGTATAAAGGCTGTCTGTTTCAGTGGGAGAAACAGAGAATGGTTAGGATGTCCATCGATGAGTGCAATGGTTATGTTTACTTTTTGCTAAACATAGAGATGTGCAACATTAGCAATTCCTGGGTCATACTTTTTTCCCACAATAGACCAAATTGTTAATATAGCATGACAGATTAATTTGTTTTGAGTTCTAATCAGTGAAGTGTATGCTTGAATAGTTTATATACTACTAAAAACAAAAGTAGGGGCTGAATGATAATTAGTTGTGAGTTCTGACTATAATAAGAGGTGAAGTGGATAGCATCAGATTTATTCTGGTCCTTTATACATGCTAGCTCTGATTGAAGATTCAAGGAATAGTTACCTAGAATTGGAGGACAAGGAATCCAAGTATAGACTGATTATATGGTGGAGATCATCTTTTAAGTTTTTAAGGCCCATATGCTCAGTAATACTTCATAGACTTAATATTCCTCGAGTTGCAAATGTAGGCGATGTGCAAATCTGTGTTGGCCCAGAGAGCACCAATCATACTAGAGAGCACCTTGGACATAAAAATATCCATCTTGATTATCTGAATAGTTTTCCTTTGAAAAAAAATATAGCTCTAAACATGTCCTCACAGTCACACTAGAGAGCACCAAAAGGTGCACAGCAGCTCAGACATCACTTGATTCAGCTACCATTGCTACATATGTAGTGTTACTGAAATAGATTCAAATCTTTTGGTGGTGATTTATAAAGTTTTATCTGATCACCAGTTTTACTATTTTGATTACAACTTGCAACCTTTTCTTTTGGCACAGGAGTGCTTACATTAAAAATAGGGAACAAAGTAACTGCATATATTTTCAAATGGCTGGAGTTCTATATTTTTACCAGTGTCAGTGATATTCATGATAAATATTGGCTTGCAAACATCATCAACCGTGCATATCTTTTGGCTATCTTTTCCTCCAATTTTTGTGCAGTAATATTCTTGAGCATGGAAGCTGTAAGCTTCCCTGAAAAAAACAGATATAATTTACTCTAGATTTTCTCATCATGTGCCTATGGTCAACAGTACTGAGATTTTTCCTTGATTTTAGTATAGCATAGCTCTGCACTCTCCCGGAATGCTTCGGGGGGTGTGTGGGAATTGAAAGCTTTGGGGGGATGGGGGGGATAAGGCTTATTTTGTTCATGTGAATAGCCCTTCACATACTTCAGAAAAATGGCTACGATCTTGTGTTCAACAACTTGACTGAAATCTTATTAGTTTTTTTGCAAGTTTGCTGTAATTTGCCAATTTTGTGTTCATCATTTCAACAAGAGCCACTGAATGAAATTAAAAGCTGAATTTGCTGCTGCTTTCAGATGCAAGAGCAGCATTCGAAGCGTTCCATTCTAGGAACGGAAGCAGCAGAGGATGACTCGTTGATGAAGTCATACATGCTGCTGTTGTCAGCGAACGCCGACTCCGGCAACTTGACAAGGTGAGAGGAAGTGATGGCGCAGCTGCACAAGTTTAGCCTGTCGTAACAATTGATTATGCTATGCATATATGGCCGTCTAAGGGGCATCGATTTGCACATATTTGGTTGTCTGGCAAGAGTGTACAATGACAAGACTTCTCCGAAGATTATGTTTGGTCAAAAAATGTGATTGCTTGTTTGGTTGTATCTTAGGTGTAGATATCTATGAATGATTTTTGTGTTTTCCATACAATCTGATTATTTTCTAATTGTAAGATTTCTATAATTCGCTCTCCAAAAGAGCCTATTATTAGTCTTTAATCCATGATTATTTTCTAATTGTAAGATTTCTATAATTCGCTCCCCAAAAGGAGCCTATTATTAGTCTTTAATCCATTGTTATGGTTTGCTTTGCAATTAGATTGTCCAATTCATAGTGTTATAGTTGATTGACATCATTTGGTGTTCATCGGAGTAACTATTGTTGTATTCAGAGATAGATTAACAGCACAACAATGCACATTTTTGTAGGATCGTAAAGGGCTTTTCCTACCCCAAAACCTAGCCATTGAGGTGAGGGGCTCCCCCACTTATATCTTAGGTCATTTGCCCTTCCACAACCAATGTGGGACTATTCAACAATCTCCCCCTTCACACATTGGTGTCCCTCCCTCAACCCTTCACCGCCCCTTCAACAATCTCCCCCATCTTAGGTCATTTGCCCTTCCACAACCAATGTGGGACTATTCAACAATCTCCCCCTTCACACATTGGTGTCCCTCCCTCAACCCTTCACCGCCCCTTCAACAATCTCCCCCTTCACACATTGGTGTCCCTCAGCCCTTCACTGCCCCTTCACCGTGTATAGACCCCACAGAACAGGCCCACGGTCCATCAGGTATACGGGCCCCGAAGGCACCCACGGTCCATCAGGCCTTCACATACTGTGTCTCCATCGGGCTAGAGATGTTAACCTAGCCAGGCTCTGATACCAATTGTAGGATCGTAAAGGGCCTTTCCCACCTCAAAACCTAGCCATTTAGGTGAGGGGCTCCCCTACTTATATCTTAGGTCCTTTGCCCTTTCACAACCAATGTGGGACTATTCAACAATTTTATTGTGTTTTCTTCCATGTTATATTATTATGTATTTAAAACTCGTTGCAGCGCGCACGGTCATCCAACTAGATGATGTTGCACGCTTCAGAAATCAGAGGCAATACAATTCGTCACAAAGTTATATGCTGATCAAAGATGGATGGAAATTGCAATCCCATTTTCTGATGCTTATTATAGATTGCAGGCTGCAAGCATCTCTCTTGGAAGGACTGTCAAGTTGCCAGGGTAATAGATGTGAAAGTGCATGAAATTTGAGATGAATAGGTGACTCGAATTACAATTACTAACTTAGCCTGCCTCTCTAGGTAAATTAATCACATTCCTCGTTCTGTGTTTTGTGATCTTGTCTTTCAGAATTGGAAAAGATAGGCTGGAATGCAATGTCAAGTAAAAGGTTCATGGAGAAATTAGTGATGGGCGGACATCCGTTAGGAAAAACACAAAAATAAATTTCATTGTTCTGTAGACTGATACTTAGGCTGCTTTTTAATGACTTAGAGTAGCTTATGACTATAGATATACATGACAAGTTCATTTTCAATGTGCTTGTTGAGTTTTGAATGGCTCTATTTGATGCATTGATCTGTCAGTCTGATGTAGCTGTTTTTTTTTAAAAAAAAAATTCAGCTTATGAGTGTTGAATTTCTGTTGGCAATCAATTCTGTATGCTCTGTAAATGAGGAAATCCAATTTGTTGCAAGCCAATATGACAATGGCTCTGTAAATGAGAAAGTTACAATAGATTCAGATTGTGGACTGCAATTTGGAACCATTAGGTTGTAAAGAACTGGATAAGCCTATTTATGAAAAAAAAATATATGTCAAAAACCCAATTCTCTTTGTTGTCATGCTATTTTCGAATAGGCCTGTAACAGTAGCCATAAGCGTAGGTCTGTAACTTGAGAATTAGTAGCCGCTGAAAAATCGAAATGATATTCAATATTTGCTTTCCACCAAACTAATTGTTATAACTCGAGTACAAAGCTTTGGGAGGCAACTCTAAAATTTCATATATGTACTTTTCACTACTGTCACTTTGCATATACATATTTACATGAGCTGTGTGAGTTTTAAAATGCATGCACTCTGTCTTGTCTCTTGTACAATGATGACCGAAGGTTAACTTTATGTGTTAAGTCCCCACAGATTCTGGGTAATTAATTAACTTTGCAAAAGTTTATATCCCCAACTGCAAATGATCAATTAATATAGTAGCTCAATTAGAGAGCAGATTTTCATGGATGCCAAATTTTGTGGACTCAAAGTAAAGTTGTAATCACCTACATCTATAAGCATTGCTGAAGTGTAAACAATAGTTTCAGGACTGATCATTTTAGGAGCATAGTGACAAAGTGAACTTAATAGCCAGGTTAGAAACAACTTCTAAAATAAGAGAGAAGCATCTTCATGGCTTATTGAACTCTGGTGCCTTGCATGTGAATAAATCTCAAGATACAAAAGGGTGATAATTTTCTTACACCTAGGAATTTTAATTTTAATTTACAACATGTATACTTATCGCTTTGAAATTGTATGCCTGCCGGAGACCTGTGCAACTAGGGGCAAATTGTCAAATTGTAGAATTTAAGTGTTTGTCAATTGCAAAATTTCTTTAAAAAGTTATATTGTTCCTGTTGCAACGCACAGGCACCCAGCTAGCATACATATATGTCGAGAGAACGTTTTGGTTCTAGGATCTATATACATATTATATATTATACATATTATACATGGGTAACAATCTAGCATGCTACTCAAAGGACGAAGCTTTTGAACATTGGGGTTTCCAAGCTCAAGGTTCTTCTGCTTGTAAAATCAAATGTGTTTTTGATTATTATTATGTGATGAACAATTGGCATTGGAGATTATTGGTTTTGATATTTGGAATTTATTTGCGAAGTGGTTTTGGAGATAATTGGATTTCACATGTGATCTACAGGATACTGTTGGATTTGGGTCCGGTCAGACCGGGCTGTGTATGCCGGTCAGACCGGCGGTGATCGAGCGGTCAGACCGGCCAGTCCACGGTCTGACCGGCCGACTATGTGTCGGTTTCGGTTTCGGGTTGTTTATTTGGATATCCGTGATTGTGTCATTGTTATGACTTCTAGATAGATACTATGCGTATGTAATACTGTTGTTTGCTACTAATAAGTTAAGTTGGGGATAGCTTGGTCTCGGAATATGGTTTCTTTGTTTGTTCTATGTGTAGGTGACTCGAGATGCCGGAAGAGTATTTGCGGTGATGGACCGGGAGTCGGCTTGGGGATAAGACGACGTCCGTGGTGGTCAGAGATCATGCGGGATACTAAGGCTAGAGTTCAATGCACGTGGTTGATAAAGATTCCATATGGCATACGATGGAGGTATTGTGTTCGTATGAGATACGGAGTCGAATTTGGAAGGAGTCCAAATTTGGTATGATTGGTTATGTATAGTTTGTTTCTTGTACTAGAGGGTTTCCTAGGGTGATTAGGACTTCTAGTATGAGTTTGGTTCGTGGCTTTAGGCTGCCTACCTTGGGTATAAATAGAGAGGGAGCGTGAGGCTTCTCGGTATCGCTTTTGAGAACAATTGAGTTGATAGTTGAGTTAGGGTTTCGAGTTTAGTCGAAATTTTTGTAAGGAGTTCTGTTGGTGCACTTTGTAAACACAGAGAGAATCAATAAAGTCGTCATCCACTTTAAGAGTTCTTCGATTTGTGTTTCATCGGGTCTCGGCGGTCTAACCGGCTACACACCGGTGGTCAGACCGGCGACTGCTACAGGGAGCGGTAGGTGATCTCGGCGGTTCGACCGATCAATCTACATCGGTCAGACCGATGTTCATCAGGCGGTCGGACCGGCACAACATCTTCGGTCAGACCACGATCCGTCGAATTTGACGGTAACTTTTATTTCCGCTAAAAGTTTTGGTTTTTTGGTATACCAACCATTCACCTCCCCCCCTCTGGTTGGCTTAGTTGTTGTGATTCGATCCTACACTACTAATCAATGCTTTAAACTCCATTGCAAAAAGTAGCACCACTACATATCATGCATATTTTCTTAATTTAAAATACCCCACAAAAGTTATTCGTTTTTTATTTTTCCGTGTGTCATCCTAGAACATGAACAACAACAAGAAAAGTTTACTCTCACCCGTTGTAATTACATGCATTTTGCTAGTTACCTATTATAAAAATTAAGGATGATTATGCAATGGACACTGCTGTCTGATGATCTGATGCAGAGAGGAGGAGTTGGTTTGGACGTTCATCCGCCATGATAGATCATACTACTACATGGTTATGCTGCTCTTTTCTTTGCTTCATTGCATGCATGCTTCATCCGGCATCAGGATACACAAAGGTGCACCAAAGCTTACAAAAGTCAGAATCGACTTGGCAGGATTGCTATACTGTGCTAGAGTATGTAGCTACAGCTACAGAATTACAGAGTATATGCACTGTAGAGTTTACAATGCTTTCGACATTCTTAATTAATTGGCCAACGATTTATTAACTTGCATGTGTTACCATTTTATATATTTTAGGAATTATATGGTTTTTGCTCTGTTATGTTTTTTGGCACACATCTCGGCATCTGTATGTCTCTTGTAGTCATAGAATCATAAAGTCACAAAATCGTATGGCAATAGAGATTTCGATAACCTTTTTATTATTGCAAACTTAGTAATCTATACAACGTAATTTTATTTCAAATCGGTAATAATATCTTCGATGTAATCATACATGGGACTGGATTTAACATCTACAATTAAAATTGCCATTGTCATTTTTACCCGTTGCAATGCATGGGTAATATGCTAGTTAGACCAAAAAGTATAATATTGCTGAGCCATGATTTTTGCGGAACAGGGAAGACACCCTACTCCATTTTTTTTTCATTTAGGAAATACGGAAAATAATAGTCTTACATCCAACACATAATCATGGTTCAAATTAGATAAGTAGCAAACTAAGCTTAGCAAGTCGATAAAACTAATTGCGGAACAGAGTAGCACGAGCTTTAAGGGTACTTAGGCAATACAAATTAATAGCACAAATAATCGCGCGATAATTGAGTAACATAAGCACGGGGAGGAATTAGGTTCTTGCTTCTTATGCAGAGTCGTAGCGGCCGGTTGTCGAGATTACTGCAGGTAAGAAACAATCGCCCTGTCCAAAAGTTCAA